ATGTCTCTAGACTGCGTCAGTCTAAACGTCAAATTGGAGCAAAACGGTTGCATTACGAAGGAAATGGGCCGTAGTCTGCTCATGAGATTGAATTATGAATTCCCTCATAATGCACTTTGATACGAAATAATAGTCTCCACTACAATAGACTAATTAAAATTTTATCATATACACAAGCAGGCCAAACTAAATATGCCTTTCTCTTGTGTAAAATATTTCCTTAAGCATAAACCCTTATATTTAGCTGTCTTTTTTAATGTTTATTGAGGGAAATAATTTTCCGTAGTTTTCACGTAACCTAAACTAGGTAGCAATGATGGTTCCTACTACAGGACAATATATCTTTGATAGATAGGCCGCAAGAAAGTTGTAGATGGAACCAAGGATGCCCTGAGAAAGAGCGAATAATCCTACAATACGCGACCTTAAATGTCTTAAAATAAAATAAAATGCAAACAAGTGTGAGTAAGAAAGAGAGAATAATGTAGTAAACTGTGTGCTTTCAAAATTGCACACTTGTCAGAATAATTCGGTAAAGGTGTGAACGATAAACGGTGTATAAATATAACTGATTCTGCTTTGAAGTCTAAAAAAAGATTTAGGCAATATAAAAAATAAGATATTTTAAGACTGGTTAGAATATAAAGGTAAATATAAGATATATTTTAGTGTAAATAATCGCAATATTACCTTTGTATCCACTAATAAACCTATGAATATCGACATTAACGCAAGTCCAAGATTCTGAATTGACTGAATCAATCCATAACCAGTGCCCCTTTGATGCTTTGGCAAAATAAATCCAATTATTGGCCACAAACTGCTGGCCAATATGGAATATGACAGGCCAAGAATTATCATATTAAGCATAGGAGGTATACTAAATGAGAATACGAAGAGAGCGTGAGATAAAAACGTGAATAAAACTCCGGCCGTAACCCAGAAGAGGCTGCAGCCAATTAGATCAATTGCAACTCCAAACACTGGACTGGCAAACGCCGATATAATATATACCAGACTGTTTGTAAATTCAGCACTTTCAAGAGACATGCCATACTCACCTGTTAAAATAAAAAACGTTAATTAGATATAAACGAAAACGTAGAAATACATAAATACACACCACTTACGCACAAATAAGAGCAATGCAATACCGATAAAAGGAAAGACAGTTGCATAGTAAAGTACGCAAATAATGCAAACTGCCCAAAATGAAATGGGGAAGTGAAGTATATCTGAGAATTTAATCGTTGGGCTTTCAGATGGTATTGCTTGAGTAGAAGAAACGAATGAAGAGGAATCGCTGATAGTTTCAGGCAAACTTTGCTGGAGAAAGATATATTCTTTTCTGAAAAATATAATAATAACAAGCTACCTTTTTTGAAAGTAGAACATAATTATGGCACACAAAAGGGAGAGGAAGCAAGTGGCCGAAGCAATAAGAAGGGAAATACCAAGCTGTTGATGCTTGCTAATTCCAAACGCATTACCAACCCAGTCATATAGTTTATGCATTGTGTTCATATTAACCGTGGATCCAAGGCGAGCTACTGAAAGCTGGATGCCGAAAACGAAATTCAACTGATTTTCAGCGAACCAATTAGAGCAATAAGTGTTCTGAACAACTTGAAGGGACTCTCCTCCAATTCCAAAGACAAAACGGGCAAAGTACATCAATGGCAATTGCTTAAGATAAGCACCCAAAGCTAAAAGCAATTGCCCGGCAAAGATAGCTGTCGAAAAAACAATTCCCCCATAGGATAAACCTAGTACACGATCAATTAAGAAGCCACCCATAGCAGAAAGAACAACATTTGGCCATGAATAAAATGCATACATGTTCATAAACTGAGTATTAGATATTTCGATATCTTTTACGAACAAATCTTGTAATGCAGCAGGATTATCATAGCAAAAATAATTTCCAAAAGATAATAGACTTATAAATATTAAAACAATATATCTATGAACATTTCTGTTAACGTCACACAAGATAAAATCAGTGCATCTTAGATAAAGTCTTTGGGAATAGTCCATTTCGAAAATAAGTAAAAATATACTAAACCAGCGCCGGAGTACATCCGCACGAACGCCACTTAATAAAAGACTTTAAAAGGGTTGCATCACCGTTACGTATCGCTTTTTAAAAATTATATAACAAAATGTATTTTATAGATTATAAAAAAAGTTTATTTATAAATTCAACACATTTTTAGCCTTTAACTTTGTTTTATCTAAATCTATTAAACTCATCTATTTTATTATTAGGGGAACTTTCAGTTCGCATGAAATTGAATGTAGAAGAGATTCGTTGGTCGATCTCACCAGATTATAACGGGTGAATCTCGTTTTACTGCAGCCGTTTGGCTTTTATATTATATTCATTTTGACGCAGTCCGCAAGACTTCCTCTCATGTTTTGGGTTTAAACGTGCTGAGCCTTCGTCCATCATATGATGGACATCATCAGACCTGGGTTTTATTCTTGTAAGAGTTTCACGTTAATATTAGGCCAAGAACACTATTCGGCTCTATCTTACTTCTTATATAGACTCAATTGAGCTAAATGAAAATAAAAAACCTAGATAGATCGATATAGAGTGGTTTGGTTAAGTTTCTTTCATACTG